CCCATCCCCCCAGGAGCTTCACCTTTACCTTCCTCACTTCTAAGCTCCAAGGCCCCTTCCTTTGCCTCTATAACTTGTTTCCTAAGCCTATTTCTTCTACAAATTACTTCTACCTCTGCGATTTTCCAAATGAATGTTCTCTTATAGTTTGAGCCCTGGCTCTGAATTCTTTCCTAGCCTGAACTCAAGTACATGCTGAAGCCAGCCCAGGTCCAGTCTGACCCCACTTGTCTAATACATGGTGCCTTTCTCTTGGCCCCCAACAAGGTCAACAAGGTCAACAGGACATCTCCAGGAGCAAGATGTTAAAATAGCATAGTGTTAAATACACTAAAATACACTGACCCTGCAGTCAGGCATGGAATCCCAGATCTGTCACTGAGATTGTTAGACTTGGGTAAGCTTCTGGGCCTCAGATTTCTGAACTTCTGCTTTTGTTGTCGCTGTTAATCTTCACCCAAGGATTTTTTACATTGATTTTTAGAGAGTGGAAAGGAGGGAGGGGAAGATATATATATAATATATATATAAAGAGAAACATGGATGTGAGAGAGACACATCGGCTGGTTGCCTCCCACATGCACCCCGACTGGGGCAGGAATTGAACCCGCAACCCTCCAGTGTGCAGGCCCATGCTCTAATGGTGGAGCCCAGGGCAAGGAACACCTTTTTAAACTCACCAGTGTTTCCCCAGTACCTGGTAAATTAGTGGTGCTCAAAATTTGGTGAATTACTTTATTCTAAAAATAATGCACCCTAGGTAGTTTTGCTCAGTGGTTAGAGTGTCACTGGGTGATGATTAAAAAATTAAATAAATGCCCAGCCAGGTGTGGCTCAGTGGTTGAGCATCCACCTAGGATCCAGGAGATCGCGGCTGGTTTCCCTGGGCTGTGGGCTCCATCCCCAGTCGGTGGCATGCAGGAGGCAGCCGGTCAATGACTCTCTCATCACTGACGTCTCTCTCTCCCTCTTCCTCTCTCTCTCTGAAGTCAATAAAGATATTTATATATATATTTTTTAAATTAAATAAATAATAAAAACATTGTGACTCACTTTTATGCAGAAGAGTTAACTAATTATATTTGTCTCATTTTCCTCAGCGGTAAAATGGGGATAATTGTTACTGCGAACATTCACTCGTCAGTGGGACGGGTGCTGGGTGGGGTGGGGTCGTGGGGGGTGCAGATACCATTTCACCAATAAAACAATAAGTTATTGGTGAAATGGTATCCCATATCTTCCTAGAGCTCAGGCTAGTTTTGAATGTTCCTCTAGGGTGTGTTAGGAGTGGGGGGTTGTTTGCTGAGAGGAAGGTGACCCTACTGGCCTGGGGCGGTCGGGGTCGGGATTGAGTTACTTTTTCTTTCTTGAATACAGCACCACCCTACTTTCTGCCCTGGTGCTGGGGAGAGGAGGAGGTGGCGCCTTCTCCCGGCTCTCAGCCCAGATCCCATCCCTCTGCTATCGACTCGCCCCGCCCCCTCC